TGGTGAAGGCAAAGGGAGGCTATACCAAGTACTGAAAGTACAAGTTTTGTAGAACCTGTATATGTGCCACAAAACTGTTGATAAGAGTGACCCTCAAAGATTAGTAAATATCTTAGGATCAAAATATGGCAAAAACATGATTAAGACTGCATTAGAAAGCCATGATGATACGCTTTCCAATGAGTGCTTTATGATGTAGTTGACCCATTGGTTGAGGAGATATTTACTATACAAGTTGAGGTGAGCAATCTTATCAACAGTTTTGTGGGTCACTGTAGATGTGCTCGGAAGCCCTGGATCACTAGCCAGCAAATCAGGAGCCTGGGCACCAATGCCAGAACCTCAGACACTCATGATCCAGACCCTGAGCACCTCTCACATATGGTGGAAAAAAGCCAGGTGCTTGCCTGGCCGAACTCTCTCTCCCACACACTGTCGTAGTATTTCACATTGTTCCATGCTACTTCTATCTCACCTCACAAGCACCCACTGAACTTAGGAAGTGAATGGAAAGGCAGGGCACTGGCAGGGTATGATACTCAAATATTACAAGAGGTTTGCGAGCAACAAGTATTTGGTGCATGAGAGCGACTTTTGGTCCATTGCCTTTGTTGAGTGAGCATGTATCCGGTAGTCTCATTCTCGCTCATCCATGACCTGTGAGCATGGTGGAACAGGTCAATTAATCATTCGCTCAGCATTGTGATGCTAACAGCTGCTGCATCAGGAGACATTCGCAGTCCAGAACAATGACTTCACACCAACCGGCATCCATGTTTCCAAGTGAACGGGGCCGTCGACATTCAATCTCATCATGCAAAGTCATTGCAATCAAGAATACACCACAGCACACTCATTCTCTGGCAATGGCAATGATGACGATGATAATGACAGTATGTTCTTTTACCTATCCTGATTGCACGAGTATTGATCCTCGATCTTATCTTCATGTATATCTAATTTCGTTCATTGAGCCCACTATAGTTCTCGAGCACAGCTGCAAGAAGCATCAAGACATGGTGCTCGAACACCTTCTGACAGGCTTGCTTAGTATGCAACAGATGCACAGGGCATGAAGTCGGTCATGGAAGTGATCCATCGCATCGCGTCACTTTCCCTGTATGCAATTGACTCCTGAAAGCAGCCGTAATGATCTGGCTTTGGAACAGTTGAAAAGACATGGAAATACCTTCTAGAGCCATCGACTGGAACGTGCTCAATCAAGAATAGAATGAGAATGACTTGGAACTCACATACTGATGCTAGGTCTTGGCGGTAATCAGCATGGTGTATTGGACCAACATGGTAGGACTTGTGACCAGTAAATCTGTACTTCTTGTTGTGTTGCCCTTGTGGATTGGTCACGATGGAGCCTCTGAACTGTATTGTAATGGTGAATAGCGAATAATCTGTTGTCACAGTATTTTATTCATTGAACCAATGTCTACATTGCTGTCACAGATTTTCACCACAAAAGTCTGCACGTGACTTTTCTCATGCCACAGATCATGTGCTTCACCAATATCTCACACCACTCAGCCACAGACGTGACACATAGAGATCAGGTGATAGTCCACATCACATGTTATGGTCCAGACCCACGGATGATACGGTCTGACCTGTCTATTCCAGGATACAATAGAGGCACCCATTTGGAAACAAAGGGAACAAGGACTATTGTTATGCATCGGCCTTCCGCTTCCTATTAGTTTAGCCAGAAGCCAAGATAGGCATGATGTTCACACCAGAGAACAAAAGGGAAACCAAGATAGGCACGACGTTCACACACGTTACTGTAACAACCATCAATCTTCCCACTTATTGTTCTACTTCTGGACATCCCATTGTTTCATGTACGGCTGTTAGCTTATACCTGTAGATAGGTAGCTTAGGTAAGATAGCCCGCTGTACATGTATATAAGACCAGCATGTAGAGGACGAAACCTCAGATTGTTTCTCCTCGTGTACTACCGTACCACCCACTAAGCTTACCAAGCTCCTCATATATCTCTCTCAACCTCCAACCGCTTGCTTCACCACCAAGTAAGTCTTAGGCTCACCAGCCACATAAGGGTTCAGGGGGATTACAGGGATCAGGGAGATCAGGGTGGCACATTCCACGTGATCATTACTTTTTTAGTCTTTTTGATCTCTTGTCTGGTGGTGCCGTGACATTAGAAACAATCTGACAATTTTCTGCACCCTTGCTTAGTGTCTAACACAAGTGGCCACATATTTTCAGTGCAAGCAGTTTCAGCCATAGCGCGCAGCTTTTTTGACACATATTCCAACCCGATCTCTACCCGGCGTGAGCCTCAGCAAGACTCTGAGCCGCCCAAGGCTTCGAAGTGCAAGGCCACACCCAGGATTGACCTCAACACCCACTACAAGTGCCAGAAAACCAACAAGGAGCATGGAAGGCTCCTCACTCTTGCATCACTAGGTGCATCATCCACAGACAGGCAGCGCGCAGCAGCCAGGGTTGTCGATACAACGCACATCATAAAGCGCG